ACTCCTTCAAATAGTACTTTGCAATGTAGTTGGCACTTAACAGATACTATACAAACAAATGAACAAATAGAGGTAAATAAAATTCAGGATTTTCCCCTATGTTCTTGCCTAAGTGTAAGGATGCTTTGGTGGCTACTAGATCTATTCTAGATGTATTGATTTTTGCCATGACAGTCAACTGTGAAGTATTGGGTTGTCGGAAAAGTCATGATGTAATTTTCTATCAAAAATGCATCATGATTTTTCCAAGGACGCAATATAAACTTGAGGTTCAAAATTTAGTCTAAGTGCTAATACTGCATTTTATCCTCTTGAGCTGCTGAGCTCAGTCTTCTTTTGGTTATGATAATTACTGGGGAATGGGACATTAGGAGGGATAAAAGGACAGTCAGAGTAATAAATAATTTTATGTTTAAAAAAATACTTGGCCCCTGCGTCAGGGGCTTACATGAGAAAAGGGAGGTAAAAAGAAAGCTGCTGCGAGGTCAACAGATGGCGTAGTGGTTAAGGCAAAGAAAGAAAGCTGCTGTTTCTCAGCAAGAGGAAACACAGCAAGTGGGACTGGTCGTTTTCTCTTGGAGAATGTATGTACACTCACTTTTTGTTGTTACACGATGCGTTATCACTCTGAGTGTGTAGGGGGAGCTAAAAGTAGTATATTGTCAAGAAACATGGGTGCTTTTGTGGTTGTCTCAGTATAGGGGGTGAGTATGCATATTCACCAGGATCTAAAGGACTAGCCCCATTGCTGCATTTCTTCTCGTTCTTAATTCTAACTGAAATGCTAGTTTCCTTCTTTCTGTATTTGGGAAGATTTTTTTTAGGTTTTTGCTATAGCACATGTGCTCACTGGAAAGAGAGACAATGAGAGGGAAAGTGAGAAAGTACCCCCGGGGAGATGCTATGACACAATCCCTTCTCCTCCTGGGATTTTGGGCACACATGCACACAAACCTGTGTGATTTTCAAGCCACCAGGTCTAGGACTCTCGTGATCAGCCATGTGGGAGTCCAGCACCTCAACCACTACAGTACCTGCTGGCCCCTTTTAACAATATTTTTGAACCTTGAACTTTTGCTTCTGCAGTGCTTTCCTATTCTCATTCAAAACCAAAAAAAAATGCAAATAGGAGATCGAGACCAGAGTCCGGATCATCTAGCCCTACCCATGGAAACTCAGGCTGATCATGTTTCTCAGGAACCTCAGGCCCTGCTTGAGACTGGTGAGGAACAGGGGACTCATTCATTCTTTTACACATTCAGCAGCCGCCTATGGAAATCTCTCACTCACCAGGTACAAGGTTGACCGCTAGGATCCAGACTTGAGTAAAATATACTCCTGCTGTCAATGTCTTGCAGCCTAGCAGGGAGGCAGACTGACACCCCTGAAACATACACAACTGGATAAGCTTGATAACTGAGGCATTTTTGAAGGGTTGTGGGCACCTTGTGTAAGATTTAAAAAAAAAATGACCGTCACTAATTCCATTTTGCCCTCTGTACAGCCAACTTTGTAGTCTTTGCTTATGTTTTTTGGGAACACACTCTGAGAAGAAGCTCTTGGAAATCATTTTGTAGGTCACAAGCAAAACGATAAAATGACTAGGAAGCCACTAAAATATATTTTGCTTTCAATAGACTGTCCCACTGACTTTAGAGATCGTTTCAATCTGTATGGGTATTGTTCCCATGTTTATCATGAAAAAGCATTTAAGGGTCTTTTTGGCAGACCTTGTACCTCTGAGGGTTTAGAGTCTCTAAGAGACAAATATGAAAACTTAAGAGTTATAGGAAAAGTTATGTGTTCAAGCACAGAAACAGGAAACATTTGTAGCATGTGAATTTGATTTGGGAATGGAGACAAAGGAGAAGAGCTGTGGAGTTATGTCTTTTTTTTTTTTTGGAGAGGTTTTTGCTATAGGGTGTGTGTGCTCACCAGTCAGACAGAGAGAGACATAGAGACAGAAAGCGAGAAATCACCCCCCAGGGGGGATTGCCACGCCACAATCCCTTCTCCTCCATTCTCCTCTCAGGATCTTGGGCATGCATGCACACGCACCCGGCGTGAGTTTAAGCCACCAGGTCCGGGACTCGAACCGCGGTTGACTACGTGGGAGTTCAGCGACATAGCCATTACTCTAACTGCTGGTCCCTGGGGTTATGTCTTTAGTCAGGGCTCAGGTAAAGCTCCTGGTTTTTTGTAGGTCTAAGAACTTCAGATTAGGAATTGGAGTTTAGAGATGTGGAAGGATGGTAGAAGGGACATAAGCAGTATAGCCTGTTATGGGCCAGGCTGGAGAGAATGTACAGGAATGAAGTAACTACTGGAGACAAGATTCATTAAGAGGGGACCTTGGGCAGATGAGAGACCAAACATTACTAAGACATTGGCTGTCTTTCCTAAGAACAAAAAGGCCTCTATTGTGAACGTCTTTAGTAGCTTAAAGATGTAAACAACCATAAATATGTAAGAGGAAGTGGGTCCTAGGTCCTTCCGAGACCCTGTGGGCTTTCTGTGGATTGGGCCGGGCAGTCAGTGGGTTGGGAGGCTACAGAGTAGGTGCACTCACTGCTGGGCCCTTTCGTTGTCTTTCAGCTCTTCCTTCTTCCAAAGTTCCTGCTTTTTCCAACAAGGACAACCTTGGGGATGAGATGTTGGCAGCTGCACTCCTAAAGGCCAAGTCCCAGGTAAGCTTGGTTCCTTTCTCGTCCTTCCCATCATCTGGACGTTTTTTGTGTAGCACTATCCTGTTTATCATCCTAACCCCAATTCCCTCCAGCAGTCCCATGGCCCTTTCCTGCTGTGTAATTAGACCATTACCTTCTGGTTCAGATGCTTTTTCTCTCATCTTCTACCCTGATTTGCCTTCCTCACTTCCCAAATGTGCATTATTCAGCCCCATCTTGATTTATTTTTTTGATGCTGTCAGTCCCATCTCACACCCCGAAATTGCATGCAAGAACATGTTGTTTCAGGAGTTGGTGACGTTTGAGGATGTAGCTGTGTATTTCATCCGGAAGGAATGGAAGCGTTTGGAACCTGCTCAGAGAGACCTCTATAGGGATGTGATGCTGGAGAATTATGGGAATGTGTTCTCACTGGGTAAGAGTTCCCAACAAAACTCTCTGGTACCAGTTTCTTCTTCCTTGTTTGCCAGTCACTCAGTACAGTTGGTTAAGGATTGACTTTGTCTCAGAAAATTCTAATAGTAGTAGTAATAACTGTAACTCACATTTCTATGGTTATTTGTAGCTTACAAAAAGTTTCGTTATATATTCTCTTCGTTAATTCTCACAGTAACTCAGTAGTTGAGTTGCTAATGTTCTCATATTAGAGGTGAGGAAAGAGGTCAGAGACCTCAAAAGCTTTGTGCATGGTTAGAGAGCTGGTGAGTGGCAAAACTTGAGCCCCATTCTCTTACCTCCAAATCTGGTGCTTTTGCCGTGTTATTTTCAGGACTTAATGTCTAACCCAGAGACTTTCCCAAACGATTTGTGTGTTGGGATTCCTGAACACGTAAGGTGCTGCTCTGTACCCAGGTGAGCATTCTGGAACTCTGGCTGTGTCCTCTCCGTCCCTATTGGGTTACCTCTAGGGATCCATTGCTTTGTTCAGGAACTAGAGCACCTGTTGCCCTTGCAGAAATGTAAACTCACTGTAAGGAGAAATTATCTTCTTTATCTTTAGGATATGGACAATTATTTCCTTGTCTCTCTCCTCATTTTTAGTGAAAACATTTTCCTGAGTAGTGCTTAGGGGCCTTCCTAACTTCTGTTTGAGACTTCCCTGTGCATTTCCTTTCTGTCCTGTGCAGGTCCAGAGTCTGAGATTGAGCCCTAGGACTGCTCAATGTGAGAAAGATACATTTCTTTAAAAATTTTTAAAAGGATTATTTATTTAAATGTTTTTTACTTTATTTATTTACTTATTTAAATTTGACCAGACAGGTTCAGAGCAAGAGAGAGCAAGAGAGAAAGTAAGAAAGCAAGCCACCAGGTATGGGACTCAAACTGTGGTTGGCCATATGGGAATCCAGTGCCCTTAACCACCATGCCACCTGCTGGCCCCAGGCAAGATAAATTTGTCTCCTGTCTCTTCCCATAAGCAGAATTCCCATTTTTGAGTCCTGGCATGATCTCTCGAATAGGGTGACAGAAAGAGCTGGGGGTCCTGGGTTTGAAAGGAACTGAGAACAGAGAAGTCTTGAGAGTAACCCGTTCATGTGTGAGGGAAAAATAGCTATTTCTCTCCCAAATACTCTTTACCCTATATATATATTTTTTTTTTTGAGAGATTTTTACTATAGGGTGTGTGCATTTGCCAGAGACAGAGAAAGCGAAACAGAGAATGAGAAGTCACCCCCCTGAGGGGATGGCCACACTATAGTCCTTTCTCCTTCGTTCTCCTCTCAAGATTTGGGCATGGGGAACCAGCAGTTAGCGTAATGGCTATGTCGCTGGACTCCCACATAGTTGACTGCGGTTCGCGTCCCAGACCCGGTGGCTTAAACTCACGCCAGGTGCGTGTGTATGCATGCCCAAGATCCCGAGAGGAGAATGGAGGAGAAGGGATTGCAGCGTGACCATCCCCCCTGAGGGGGGTGATTTCTCGCTTTCTGTCTCTCTGTCTCTCTCTGTCTGTCTGACGAGCACATGTGTCCTATAGCGAAAATCTCTCCAAAATAAAAAAAGAATTAGATGGTCAATTTGGCATGCACGCACACATGTCCAGCTTGAATTTCAAGGCTACGAGTCCAGCATTTGAACTGCAGTCAACCTTATGGGAGTCCAGTGCCTTAAGCATGCTACCTGCTGGCCCTCTTTACTTTTTTTTTCTTTTTCTTTTTTCTTTTGCTATAGGGCGCATGCGCTCGCCAGACAGAGACAGAGAGACAGAGACAGAGAGACAGAAAGCGAGAAATCACCC